GTGTCATGTCATTAGAGGATATTCAGTTTTAGTGGGAGTTTGTAATTTTAGATGCTTTTATGATATAGACATATTTTCAGTTATTTCAATTTATGGATATTTTGAGGTTATTTTCTGCAGAAATAAAGTTTTGGTTTATTCACACTCTGATTTTGGTATGGTTTGATCTCACTAAGGTTTAAGGTGGACCAATTGGAAATAAGCATGTTAAGATCACATTACATGAAATTTCCATGCTAAACATCGACATCATGATCCATGTCATTCAGTTGTATTGGCATACGTGACCATTGATAGGTCGAGTTACGACAGTTGTAACGAATGCCGCTTTGATCCTATGTTGGTATGATTGATGGACCGGATTGGTTATAGATACATTTCGGTAATTACAGCAAAGTTGAGCTCATACGGTTATTTTTGCAAAGCATAATTATAAAGTTACACACATAGCCCAAGTGGGAGATTTGGGCTTATATGTTAATAATTATGTGTTGTGGGTTGTCATATAAGGTTAAGCCCAATTAAAAGTGATCTACTAAGCTTTGGGTATTTTGGGCTTTAATATATCTAATAGGGTGTGAGCCTTTAATGTGTAGAGATTTAAGGGTAATTTTTATTTTTATGATGGGCTAAAATAGAAATACCAAAATATAATAGGTAAGTTATCTATATATAGCGGTTATGGTCTCCAGATCGCACGTTACATTCTATTCTTTCTACATCCTATCATCAAAGAGAGTACAGAGAGAAAGTTCAAGAGTTCTCTAGGAAAACGTGTTGATCTGGAAGACAAACTGCACGGCTCTAGAGAGAAATTAGTCAATATGGATTCAGGTACGCTTCTGCTTACAGATTTATTAATTCTTGACGATCTAACATGAATGTTCTTGACTTTTGGGTGATGATTTTCACTAAATTATTGATTTCTAACAGAAATAACAAAGAAAGTTCGACTCATTTTGAATAAGAAACTAATAAGATAGAAGTTTTTGAAGAGGATAAAATAAATTGTTTCTTTGAGGATAAGAAGCAGAAAAAAGCTGATAGGTAGTGAAACATGCATTAATTTGAAGTTCTAGAAAATAGATGATATTTGAAGATCCAAAAGATAAGGTGGCGGCCAAAGGAGATTTAGCTAGCCCGCACATTCTTTTAGAGTTGAGGATTCACAAATTTCAATACCATTGGTGCCAAAAATAAGGCAGCATCTGTGACGCGAGAAGTTATCACAACGTCAGGTTGATGCTTTTCCAGACATTCGACTATGGGAGCAGCTCCAAGATATGTGCTAATACCCTACACCAGTGATACCAACGAGATAATATCCACCTTTTCAAGAAGAATGTTAGAGCAAAAGATAGCAAACATTGATATGGATCGAACTCTTTACTTTTGATAAATTATAAAATGGAAGGTTAACCCTGAACCATGCCACTGAAATGTCAATGAAACAGAAATTATGCATGCAAAATAACATCAACTTCTAGAAATACAAAATTATCTAAGAGGTACTAGAATCTTACGCCTTCCTTGATGTAGGATTTCTCATGAGAGGATCCTAAACCTATGTGAACAATAACATGGTAATTAGTTCAGTAATAGGACTTTGTGTTGTTCTATAAATGAATAAAAAGCTAACTCAGATTGTGCAATAATCCAAATATATCAGAGTCCAGAAATTCTTTACAATGTGTCTGCAGATGATTTAGAACCTCCTAAGGTGAATTGAAATACCTGTGTTACTGATAGAAACCTCATGAGCCACACCAACAGCTATATTAAGTCCCAGGCTGTTTGCTATTTCTATAACCTTCTTCTGCGCACCAGATGGATCCACTACCCAGAAAAGAAAATAAAATACTCAAAATAAAGTAATACAATGCATTTGATCCATAGAAAAGCAAATGAAAGCAGTGTTTTCAGATTGAATATTAATATTAGTTTAGCTTGCAATTCTTACTTGCACCCATGTTGGTGATTATGCAAGTTCCTCTCGCCACAGCTAAAGGTAGAAGCAAGCGCATCCAATCCGAAACTGCACGTTGATTGTAAATCACCGGAATAAATCGTAGGATTCAACACAAAAGTAAATCAAGATAAGTAGCATGAAGCATTTAAACCAAGAAAAGATGCAATCATTCGGCAGTTCCTGAACTAATTTTTTGCAATTAACTGGTGTAGTTCTCAGAGTTTGACACGCGTTAACTATAAACAAATATAAAACTTCACATATAAAGAAGTACAAACTTTCAAGAACATGTAAAAATGTCTAATCCCATCCTTGTGCAGAACAGAATAAACCTTCAAGTACCATATTTCATAAAGCTAATATAAGAAAAACATATCATAACTGACAAAAATAACAGGGACATACTCCGCGAATCAAAACCATCGCCACCTGACACCATAACCTGATATCGATCAGCAAGGGTGCGCTCCGCTAGGCATTCAAGTACAAGATAATTCAGCTGTTTCACTCTCTGAAGCAACTTAAGAGCTGCCAAGGGCCTATCACCTCCAAAACCAGCTCCACAGCCAATGTACACCTTCTCCCTTCGTTTTGGGGGATTTTCTCTCTGCAGTTCAATTCAACCCCAAAATACTCAAACTCTATTTCATTTCTAAATTTGCTTTAACTGAACAAAGCTATAAATGAATGATATTAAATTGTTACCAGCTTAATCACACAATCATGAATCTCATCTTTGTCATCATGGGTTTCCATTTTATACGCAAAATAGTCCCTGGAGAAGGCAACAAATTTTACTTTTTAGAACCTCCATACATAACTGGTAAATTATTAGTCTCCAGTTTTCTGGGAATCAATCTATCAGTTGTTAACAAATGCCCATGAATTCATGTTCCCATAAAAGGCAATTTATCATGCGATATGAGTGTTCGATCTCCCAGAATGAAAAATGGGATTTGTGTGTGCTTAAAGCTTCAAGAGTAGTGATTTGCGAAATAGAAATTAGATTTACAACGTAGACTTTTAGACAATAAGATTAACAATTTGATGGAAAAAAAAGAAAAAACAAAAACAAAAAAGTTTGTTTCAAAAGATTGAGCGTCGTACCTGGCAAGTCCCTAAGCTACAAAAGCATGAACAATGAATGACTCTTCTTGAGAAACTGGGCTCCGTCCTATTGGTCTTTTTGGTGCTAAGACAGCTGTCGTTTGTTTCTCTTTAAAACTTGCTGTTGTTTAATAATTACAGCGACGTGTCGTTTTAGTTGGAACTTTGGTTGCCATGTGTTAGAAAACTACACCTCGATTAGATATTTAAAGCATGTTTGGTAAAAAGATTCAAATGCGCCGATTCAAATGGTATGATTCAGAATTATAGTTTATAATTTTAATTTTTAAAATTTAAATTATTTATGAAAAAAAAATATTATAATAAATTAAAAATTATAATTTTAAATTAGGTAAAAAATTTTAAAATAAATGAAGCATTAATAATTTTTTTATTAGAATATTTTTATGTGGACTTCTGTAATCATAATAATGCACTATGTAATTAATTAAAATATTTTATAAATAATTGTGTTAATGTGAATTAACATGTATATATTTATGAAATATCACTTCATAATAAGATTGACACTTATTTCATTAACTCGCTTAGGCATATGAACTCACTCTTTCTAAATATTCTAAATATTTAGTCTGCCTATTAGGCCAAATTTCCTCTTATCAATAAGTTTGGTTGAGGCCCAACAAGGCCTAATTGCCTAAGGTTGCAGCACAAAACCAGAGGAGAAAAATTTTTGCGGGGGTTGTTGGTGTCTCGGGAAAAGAGAGGCAGAGAAGAGAAAGAGTTGAAGAACTCTTCAAGCCCCTTTGCCATTCAAACACCAATTCCGACTGGTTTTGAACGTTTTTTAGAAACCATGAACAATTCTATATGCTTCAAAATCTATATGACAATGTATTTTTGGGTTTGATTGTTTTTTGATCTCATTTATGAGTATTGAGAACTCATTAGTTCTAGTAAATTGTATCGAGCTTAATTTCTTGGATTTGTGGCTATAGTTTTATTATTTTTTTTATTTTTGGTTTACTGCACGTTCCTCCATAGGGTTTTGGTTTTTATGGGTTTTTGAGTGAAATTAATGTTTGAAAACCAAATAGAATAAAATTTGGAGCAAAACCCATCTAAGAACGTCAAAAATGGACCACCGGAGCTCAGTTTTCCAGTGGGTCGGGTCACGGATTCGACCGAGTCTCATTTGCAGTTTTCAGAGCTCAGGGAACCTTGAAACAACATGTCGTTTTTCATCCTTGTGGGAAAATGACATGTCGTTTGAAGGAGGAATTGTGGCTGTCGTGTGAGTGAAACGACATGTCATTTTCAATAAGCCCAGAACGACATGTCGTTTCTGGAGACTAAAAAAAAGGCAGTGGTGCATTTAATGCGTCAGTTGGAGCGCGCTTCAAACACGCTAGAAAAAGGTGCACACCAGCACGCGTCAGGGCCTAGTGGCGCACGTAGGACCCATTTTTAGGCCAAATTCTGCCCTATTTTGTTATTTTTACTCCGTTGCGCTCCATTTTTCATTTCCTACCCATTTATATGATTTATTTTGGGTTTGGGCCACCATAAAATCATGTTTTTAATATTTTTATATTATTGATTGTATATTTTTATGGGGGGCTAATTCTCATAATTTTCACACAAATTTTTTCTGGGCATTTCGTATACAATTTGTTTAATGATCAATGCCATAAAATTTATATTATGTTGTTATTATTATATGACATATTTAATTGTGAGAATTCGACAATAATGAATGTTTATGTACTTGCTTGTCGTGAGTCAAAACATGTCAAATTACCTGCGTATGTTACGGAGCTCTCCCACAAAATTTAACATTTCCTTTTAAAAAATGTATTGGAATAAACACACTCCTTACATGGATGCGCATGACCTACTAGAAAATAGTTTTATTTAAATATTTGTTTATTGTAATAATTTTCATATATTTTCTGGATAGTTTTAATTCTCACTATTTTGAGACCTAAAATGTCACGATCCCAAGGATAGGGCTGTGATTATTGAGATATAATTAAAAAAAATAACTTAATTAAACTGGATTAATTAAGGAAAATCCGTGAAAATAAAATAAAATATACAAACACCAAAATAGATATTAAAATATATTACACCGGAGTCTTTCTTTTACAAATAATATTTAAAACAGTCTATAAAATTCAAGAAAAATAGTACAACTCTGGGACAATGTCGACCAATACAGTTTATATACAAAAATACAATACATCTCAGTAGTAAAAACTGTAAATTCAAAACAAACTAACCACTTCAAATCTCGCACCTTCAATCCATTAGCATCCACTTGTCATGCTATAAATCTAAACCACTAACTCTGGAGGGGGTTTAAAACATTGAAAACATAAAAAAAAATGAGCGGAAGGCCCATAGGATATAATTCTATAAAAATTTAACAATTAAAGTACTCACGATCCGAAGACATACACCCAGAACGGATCATCCTTTAAAGAAAGGAAATGCTCACGTAATAGTAGCAAAATATCTGGATAATGAAAATATGCAAAGCTATAATATCACCACTGAGCAAGAAGTGGCCCGTACGGGTTTCGAGACCTACCCCCGAGGATACAATTCCTATGTTCTGATCTATGTGGCCATCATGTGTTTTATCATTTCTTAAAATATCTCATTTTAAGAAAGAAAACTCTTTAAAATCTCATTTCCAAATTATTGAAAACTCAATAGCATTATTCATGCTATTTCCTTTAAAATTATTTCTTTCTTTAAACATGTTTTGTGTTTAAAACATTTTCATAGACAAAAATAATTTAATTATGGCTATCAAGGATATGGACAAGAATATCCTACCTCTCGGATATCAAACTTGGGCTAGCCTTTCGTTATCCTAGCATCCGCTTTCCTCAAAGCTTTTAATCTGATCCTTCAATTAACATTGTCACAAAACAAAGTTTTAGGACACAATCCTCATTCCTAAAACAAATTAAGTTCAATTATGTCTAATTGTTTCCTATTAGTGTGCCTTTGCTCAAATCCGAGTTTCACAAACAGCTTTATAATTCAGTTTGGGGATTCTTTAAAAATGAAATCCAATTCATTGGTTTGGTTTCCCATTGAATTTCGACTTAAAAAACAAGTTTTTAAATAAATTTCGGCAGCATGCCGGCATAAATAGGGAAAATGTCAAACCTGCAATTCAAGTTTAATTTCAAAATAAATTCTCCAGAAATCATCAAAACCAGTTTCCAATCAATTCAACAAGTCTGATAATTAAAAATCCCAAAATTTAATTCAATTATAACAACAATTATTCAAATCCAAACCCTAACTCAAAATTATTCAAATCCAACCAAAATTACAAATTCTCAAGTCAATAACTCAAATTCAAGTATGGGTATTCAAGAAATCTTTACCTCGAAGTGATTGAAGCTCGTTTCCCTCTATTTCTCTTGTTTTTTGTTTTTTTTCTCTTCCCTGTTTCAGCAGGGAGTTCAAGAGAGAGAAAGAGAGAGAGACCCAAAGAGAGAGAGGTGGCCGGAGAGAGGGGGGAGTGGTGGCCGGCGATGAAGGAAGAAAGAGAGAGAAGGAGTTGCCGTGGAGAACCAGAGGAGAGAGAGCGATAAGCAATGACACCGACTCGTTGCACGATTTGGAATGGTCCAATGTATCTTGGTACAAGTTTCCCTTTCACACCAAAATGAGTGATTCCTTTGTACGGTGAAACTCTTAATAAAACAAAGTCACCTTCTATCAGTATAGCTCTTCATTTAATCAAACTTGGATTATCTAATAGGATTCCGTCAACTTGGTCAGTCTTCTAATCTCACACATGGGCTGATTTAATGTCCGTTATGGAAATATGTGCAAACCGTATTACGTGTCACCAGAGGGTAGAAAACTAGTTTTGAATGAAAATAGACATCCATGCCTTTCCAACAAGCTATCACACGCCCTATTTCAAATATTCTAAGCCTTTCAAACACATCTTACAAGAAATTGGAATTCTGAAACTTCAACTTTTCAATGCATTTTTAAAAGTTTCTAAGCAAAACTTCAACTACGCACATCTCGGTCTACAAAACTCCAAATAGAGTGATTCCAAGTGCTACACATCACTAGTAATGAACACTAAATGGTAGGCTAAGTGTTTTAAGTGCAGCAATCTCGGTTCTAGAAGTTGGGGTTTAAAATCACACTTTTTACGTTATGCCAAGAACGCAATTTTGACATTTCTGACAAAGATGATCATAAAACATTCCACATAACTCTAAAGGGTATAAATCTAGTTTCTGAATAAAGTAGACACCTAGAGCTTCAAAACGAGCTATGATATGCCCATATCTAAGCTCTCTAAGTACCTCAAAAATAGTTTCTAAGAAATCAAAATTCTATTATTGTCTGATTTTGACAGCTTTCGAGAAGTTTTTGGCATGAAACTTCCAATGCTCAAAACTCAGGTTACAAAACTCCAAATGACGAGATTTCAACTCCCACGCGTCATAATAACATGTACTAAATGGTAGCAATAGTGGTTTAGGTGCAGCAATGCTATTTCAAAAAAGTAAGGGTCCTAGTTGTTTATTTTATCAATTCTTAGAAAAAATAACTTTGGCGGCTGTTACGGGAATAATCATAAAATATTTTACATAGCCCCAAAAATTATAAAATCAGTGCCTAGTCGAAGTAGACATCTAGGGCTTTCTAAAAAGATATCATAAGCTTAATTTTGAGTCTATTAATATCTCCAAAAATACATTATATCTGATCAAAACGTGGCTATTTTTCTGCAGAATTTCAGAAACTATGTTTAACTTCAAAAATGCATAACTTGAGCTACATTTGTCTGTTTGAGGTGATTCTTACGGCTATACGAAGCTTAGGATGTCTAGTTTCCAATTATGTGACCCATTCATTCAAATTCATCTCCAAAGATTTCCAGAATTCAACAGTATCAAACCTGTCCAGGTTAGGCTCCTTGACACTTTTTCCGACAAATTGAAAAATTCATAACTTAAGCTACAAAACTCCTTTTTGGGTGATTCAAATCTCCTATCAAAGCTTGAAAAGTCTATTTCAAGGTTCTAGCATAGCTAATATTAAACCTTATTGAGAA